ATCTATCTATCTATCTATCTATCTATCTATCTATCTATCTATCTATCACACAGGAGCTCTATCTATCTATCTATCTATCTATCTATCTATCTATCTATCTATCTATCTATCTATCCATCCATCCATCCATCCATCTATCACACAGGAGCTCTTTATAGCTGGGCCCCGTTTTATTCACAACACCTGTCCCACCAACCAGGAACCAGAACCAGATGTTTACAGTAAAAACAGGAAGATATCAACCTGTGGATTATCTGAGGATCTTAGTACTGAATGCCAAATAACAAGGGACATCCACACACTATAGAACCAGTTTGATACAACACTATTTCATACAATATATCTAATTAGGGGGTCCCTGCTCCATCTCGCCATCAGTTTGGGGGTCCTTGGCCTGGAAAACCTTGAAGACCTCTGCTCTAAACAGTTCTGATTGGCCGGCCACCCATCATCATCTCCAGACTTGTGACCGGTGTATGCCCACTGATAAGTGTGCAGCCCATCCCCGGCCCCTCATGCTGTGCATGTGGTGTATCTACAGGGATTGGACAATGAAACTGAAACACCTGGTTTTGGACCACAATACTTCATTAGTATGGTGTAGGGCCTCCTTTTGCGGCCAATACAGCGTCAATTTGTCTTAGGAATGACATATACAAGTCCTGCACAGTGGTCAGAGGGATTTTAAGCCATTCTTCTTGCAGGATAGTGACCAGGTCACGACGTGATGCTGGTGGAGGAAAATGTTTCCTGACTCGCTCCTCCAAAACACCCCAAAGTGGCACAATAATATTTAGATCTGGTGACTGTGCAGGCCATGGGAGATGTTCAACTTCACTTTCATGTTCACCAAACCAATCTTTCACCAGTCTTGCTGTGTGTATTGGTGCATTGTCATCCTGATACACAGCACCTCCTTCAGGATACAGTGTTTGAACCATTGGATGCACATGGTCCTCCAGAATGGTTCGGTAGTCCTTGGCAGTGAGGCGTCCATCTAGCACAAGTATGGGGCCAAGGGAATGCCATGATACGGCAGCCCAAACCATCACTGATCCACCCCCATGCTTCAGTCTGGGCATGCAACAGTCTGGGTGGTGCGTTTCTTTGGGGCTTCTCCACACCGTAACTCTCCCGGATGTGGGGAAAACAGTAAAGGTGGACTCATCAGAGAACAATACATGTTTCACATTGTCCACATCCCAAGATTTGCGCTCCTTGCACCATTGAAGCCGACGTTTGGCATTGGTAGAGTGACCAGAGGTTTGGCTATAGCAGGCCGGCCGTGTATATTGACCCTGTGGAGCTCCCGACGGACAGTTTTGGTGGAAACAGGAGAGTTGAGGTGCACATTTAATTCTGCCGTGATTTGGGCAGCCGTGGTTTTATGTTTTTTGGATACAATCCGGGTTAGCACCCAAACATCCCTTTCAGACAGCTTCCTCTTGCGTCCACCGTTAATCCAGTCTTAAATGAAAAACTTTCCCAAAACCCTGTTTACTATATTTTATGGCTTTCCCCATCAAAAATCTAAAAAGCTCAGCCTTAACGGTTTTATTTTAGCAGGTAACGTGTCTATACACTTGAGACAGGAAAGCTTTTATAGTATAAGTGCAAGTTAGTCAAGTTCCATCCACTTTTTCTTAGACACCTCTTCCAAACCCATGCCCACAGCAAAAAACAGAAGCCGAACTACGGCTCAACAGCACCGTCTCACACCAAAGCACCCCTGTGGCTCACAGGACATCCTCTCTCATGATGAAAAAGAAGGCACATTTAGAGGAAGGAAAGAAGGAACAGGCATAACACAGAGCGAGCAGCTTCAAGTAGAAAAGAGCTTTGAGCAGAAATAAAGGGACAACCACAACCTGAGAAAACACATTATTTCTCTCTGAGAAAAAAAGGGGGGTCTACTTAGGGGAGCAAACTCAGGCTCTCATACAGCTGTGAAACACCAGAAGCGTCAGATCAAGAAAGAATAATAACAGTGAAGCCTCAGCAGACTTGTGTTTCTGGCCTAGGATCTTTAAAGCATGTTTATACTACATTCTAAAGACATGTCCACTGTGTCATGATACAGGGAAATGATCAGCCACATATCTTCTGCTAGTACTTTGGCAGAAAAATCATTTTTCCTCCAATAATAGAACTACCTAATATGAATCTGCCAAAGATATGCTCCAAAAAACCCTACCGAACAAACATGCACGACATTCAACAGGAAGTTAAATCTGCTTGACAGACGGTTTGAATGTTTTTTTGTTGTTGAAGTACATCAGTGCAATAACATCAGTGAATTCTCAGTGATTTGGGGGTGACATAGGAAGCAGAACTAGCAGGGAAACGTGGACTGATCAGAGGGTCTTCAGTCTGTAAAAGGGTCCAAACGGGAAAACATGACGCGGCCCATCTAACCCAGGTTTCTCTGATGAAGACCAGAGAGCCTCTGAAAACTGACATTTAGAGTCGGCCAAACATTTCTATTCTTCAATAGAAAGCTGGAAAGACAGCACAGACAGGAAGTTGGGGAATGGACGTGGTGTGCAGAAATGTTTTCACTCAACAGAAGTAGACTGCAATTATACTTCAGAGATGAGACCCACACCACTCTGACAGGGACCTGACCTGGACGACTGAGCATCTTGTTGCAGAACTTTTATGTTTTTCTCAATTTTTTCACATTTATCTATTTCCTAGATTTTTGTAAACCATCATCCAATCACACAAGCTGAAGAAGAATATTGTTTATGTAACAGTCTGGTCCATCACCTCTGACATCTATACCTGGGAAATGACAAACGTCAGCTGGAACTGTTCTGGTTAACGGGAGGTCTAAAACTGTCTACGGGCAACAGGAAATAAGTAGAAACAAAACACACACACCTCTTAATAACATGACAGATCACACCTCATGTTCACGGGGTTGTTTGCACACACAAGTTGTCAGCACATGTTAATGAGGCGAGAATTAAAACACCCTCAATCCGGAACCCCTCTGGAACGCGCATGCGCACATCAGCCCAAGTGAACAAGTAAAACCGTCAACCCAGTTACAAAAAAACAGTCCCACCGGAAGTTTGACAATTTAACCTGCATAACATGCTATAAAAAGGCTTGCTTTAAAGGAGGATCGGAGGACAATTAATAAATCGAAACACTACACGTATGTATCCGAGGGTATGTATGTACATGCCGTGTACAGCGTGTCTCCAGCAGTTCAAGTACTGAACTACTCTTATTTTGAAAACCGTGACCGGAAGTCCCCACAGTCGCGTATAACTTAGCAGACGCTTAGCTAACCACTATATAGGAAAATATTTTAACTATAAATAAAGTGCATACATTCAAACTCGTTTCATAGACACACGAATTTCTCAAAAATCTGTCTGAATCACCTCAAACCCACTGACATCTGTAAGCATCATTTTATCATTTCTGGACTCAAAGGCAGTGCAGTCGCCGCACATTTATGCCTGTGTTGTTGTACAAGAAGCATCGTCAGATAATGCCTAGAAAAAATAAGCTCAATTCAAAAGCTGAAAAGTGGGAAAACATCGAGTGATTCGGCTGACTCACACTTGAAGAGATATTAAAATGTGGACAGATGCATCTTCCACTTCAAACAGCAGATCTGAAACTCGGTTAACTTGTGTTTAAGTAAACACGAAGGTTAAGAAAACCACACAATAACACACAACTAGCTAACATTAGCTTCTAGCACGTTAGCATTCTCATTAAAGCAGCGGTGAAGCCTCTCCTCCTCCCGCTAGCAGCTGCATGTTTGTGTGCCCCACCTGAGGATGTGTCCAGCAAGTATCTCTCCAGCTGAGGAAAAGTGAGCTCTGGTAAGTCCAGCAGCGCTCCGTAACGCTCCAGGAAAGAGCAAATCACGGCATAATTTGGACACAAACCAGGGGAAGAACTCGCTGTTGCCGCCGAAGCAGCCATCTTTTCCACACCAGTGTCAAGTCAGCCGGAACTAAAAGTATGACTTCCTGTGTTAACAAAATTAAGCAGCATCAAAACAGGTACAGAAATACTTTATCTGATCAAGCATACTTTGTAATAGTGTCTGTGTTAATCTTTGAATTTCTTTAAAAATTCTTTTTAAAAACGATGATTGTAATATACTGTGTAAAAGGAAAGAGTTACAAATTCCTGGGTGTTCCCCTAAACAATAACTGGACTGGAGTGGGGAACAGGTCCTGAGTCGCCTCCTGCTGCTGAGGCCATCGGTCAGAGTATGCAGGACTCCTTTGAAGACCTATCAGGACTCTGTGGTGCCCTCAGCCATTTTCATGCTGCGGTCTGCTGGGCTCCGGCTGCTGTCAGGCTGCTGCACCTGCCTGCATCCTGTTGGCTCACATATTCTGTATTCCTGCTGTTATTTATCTCAGATTTCACTTGGTGGTGTGGGGTTCTTTCCATTTGAAAGTGATGAAATTTCCAGTGCTCCTGGGGTACAGCTAGATTTGGATATATTTTCTAACCCAACCCTGCCTTGTAGTGCTCTACAACGTAGTCCCTGACTTGTGTGAGGAGCTCCTTGGGCTTCATGGTGAGATGCCTCTGCTTAGAGGTGGCGGCCTCTGTCCAGAGGACCATGTGACACTCTGACTGCCCACAGGTGGACCTCACTGAAATGGTTAGGTAAAGAGGGTGGATACATATGTATGTACATTCTATTTTTTATTAAAAGTGTTTTTAAATGGTTTTGTACATTTTACCTCATTTAACTTCAGTAAAACTATTTTGTGTAGATTCCTCACATAAAATAAGACTAAACATTTAGCTTTTAGAATTTCCCTATAATACATATATATGCATACACAAATAATTATTTTCCCAAATAAAGAATGGCAAAGTGCTTTACACTAGGATGTTATCTAATAGTTTACAGTTTAAATAGTTCAAAACCTCCAGTACCTACAAAACAAACAAAAAAAGTCATATTTGTTTCATTTAAGCTATCTTTATTTCACATTGATGTGTACACAATAAATACAGTTAAACATCCACTGGTGTGTAAATCTGACACTCTGCACCCTCTGCAGAGCTGTGGGAAACGGGGATTTTAGATTCAGACTCCTGTATTCAGAACCAGTAGCGGTTTACAAACACCTTTACTAATGGAAAAGAGACTTTTAATACAACAGGGTAAATGCAAACTTCAAAAATAAGTTTGATGTCATTCAGATCTCAAGGAGATCAACGAGAACACAGCAACAGGGCTGACAGATATTTATTTTCCTCTGGACAAACTGGACTATGTACTTATAGGCTTATCATCCTAACTCTAATAACAAAAAGAAAACAAAAGAATAGAAGAAAAGATGTACTATCATTTGTACAGATATCCATCTCCAAGCTCTATGTCAATTATCCATGTTTCAAAAACAGTACGATCAAACAGATAAGAATCTCAATCAAAGATGCTATGATGGCTATTTAAGGCTAAATAACACAAGAGTGGATAAAAGACAAGTATTCTTACCAATACAGCTGGCAAAACTTCAAACATGAACAATACTGAAAGGGAGTAAAAAGACATCAAAAAGTGCTTCACTATGACAGTATAGACAGTTCAGGATGGTTTCCTCCTTAAACCTTAAGGCCTTTAAACTGCAAAACCACATCAGTGTAAACTGCCACGCAACCAGAAACCAGCAGCGGCTTCTCTAATGTCAGAAAAACGCCTCTAAATCTGCATGTTACAACACAAAACAACAAATAATTAGACTGTGTGTGAGTATGCACTAAGTCTATCCCTTAATTTTCATCTTTTCATACCATCTGGATAAAAACGAAAGCTATGTGATAAAGGCTGAAAAACAGAGTAAACAATACAAGATCCACTACTCCAATATTTGACTGATTAAACAATCACTAGAACTAGAATTGCAACTTTTCCCTTGTTTGTGTAACTGCCACCAGTTACCCGTGTGGGCGGAGAGGACCAGCCTCGCCTGTGCTGGCGGGGGGAGGACAGACGGAGACCGGGGCTCTGGTCAGGGCTGGAGCGGGGGGGGCGGCCGGCTGGAGCTCTGCTGGGAGGTGACCCGCGAGGATCCGCCTGATGGAGCGCACACTGATGGAGGTGTAGTCCTTACTGAGTCACCGCTCTGAGGGTGATGCTCTCCTAGCAGGCACTGGGAGTGGGACTGATTGGCTGTGAGGTCACGGGCTGGACCTTTGCCCTGGGGGGTGTCGGGGGCCCAGCAGGAGGCCCGCGGTCTGGAGCCGTTGCCAGGTGAAACACATCCACAGCGCCCCCTGGTGTCAGGCTGCTGGGATGGCCTGCTCCTGGACATGTATCAGGATAGAGTCCTCCAGATCTTCATTCTTCAGGTGAGCTCCACCAGAGAACTGATCAGAGGGTGTGGTTAGAAGACAATGTCCTCTGGACGGCTGCGCTGAACTCCCAAATGTCCCAAACCCAGACACATTCCTTACTCCAGGTCATGTGTTCATGAGGCCAGGTTCCCTTTTTATGAAGATTTGGCTTTGCTTGTTTCTTCCCTGCACATCATCCTAAGACAATTTGAAGCCGTTTTAACTGCATCCATTTTTGGGGCTGAAAATGATTCCCATCCACAAAGAAGAGCTGGATTTTGGACCTAGTCATATTTCTAACAGGCGGTGGACGTTTGATGAGGGGGAGTGAGAGAGCCCGAGGACTGAAAACAAAAATCTGCTGGGAAATTAGGAGAAAGGCCCAATCTCTCTCCACACACACTGACCCTACGATGGGCGAGCAGGGCCTCCTCTGCCTCCAGGGGTCCTCAGGGAGTGAAGGTTTCTGCAGGTTTCCTCTGGGAATCCTTCTGCTGCTCACACCAGCGTTATCTCCACCTCCTCCCTCCGCTTCACCTGCCCACGAGGATGCTGCTTTGGAGGGGGAGGAGCAGCCCGGACCTGAAACATCCAGCACTCCAAATCACGCCCCAGAAACTCCCAAAATCAACTAAACCTTACACAAGAATTTCAGAACAGGACATGGTTGTTCAGGTGGACTAAAGCAAACCACCTGAGGACTGATGTGAAGCCCTCTACAGATTAGGATATTTGTTCCCTTTACTCACAGGTCGGATGGTGCCCCCGCCGCTCTCTGGGTATTTGGGAGGCTGTGGTGATACTTTTGCTGGACCTTAAGGGGACATGGGACACAGATTACAGTCACACAGCCGTGTCTACCTGTGTGTCCACAGAGCAGACCACTGAACAAAAAAAACCTGTTTGCCATATCTGCTTACTACTTCTAGCTTAGCTTATTGCTCTATTGATGCTATTAGGGATTGTATTGGGGATGTCCCGATCCAGCGTTTTGCACTTCCGATCTGATCCCGGCCTATCAGAGCATGTATTAAAGTCTAAAGTTATTTATCTACTTACTTAGTTTTTCAGACTCATGTTGAACAGGGATTTACTCTGATAACAACTTAATGGTTAGGACACAGACCTGTGGTTACAGATGCTAATGCTAATGCTCGTGTGGGATTGGACTTTTAAAAAATCTGGATCTGGAGTCTGGATCGGCGTTTCTCCTGCCGGCCGACACGCAGTTTTTTGCAAATATCGGCGGCCGATCCGATCCAGATATGGGATGGGGACCATCGTGTTGTGGATTATAAGTTGCTTTGGAAAAAAAGTTTCTGCTTAATGGAGAAACATTCTACAGAACTGTTAGATGTTACTCCTGCAGCCTCGTGGTGAACCAACGGGTTTGTCTTACTGGGGTAGGGGCTTTTTTGTGGGGCTGGTGGTGGTCTGTGATGTCCGTTGTGATAGGAGGGTGGTCGGCCAATGGGAGAGGAAGTGGAGCTGCAGGGACTGGAAACGGGAGAGGACACGGTAGGCGTCTGTAGAGGACTGCTGTGGAGAGGCCCCGGCTGGAAGGGACTGCAGGGGGAGCGGGCGCAGTGGGCCAGAGTGGAGGGAGAAGCCTGAAACAGACAGAAACAAAACCCGTAGCCAATCAGCATGGTCTTCGTTAGGGACTGGCCCCACTAAACAGCTAGACAGTCAGGGTCCCATCAGAGTTGCCGTCATGTCGTTATTGTTGTCTCTGCTTGGGTTGTGTTTGAATGACGTCAGCTCTTCTTTCTGATAGGCCCTCATTCATAATGGAATAGCACCTAAACTGAGTAGAGCCGGGTCACACTGAACCCTGTACCTTAGAGGTAGTACCAATAGAAAATCCCCAAACGATATTCAACAAGCCATTTTCCATCCCTGAATACAAAGCAAAGACCTTGAGCCTTCCCCCCTAGAACTTTGATAAAAGACCGTTTTCTGCTTCCACACAGTTAACTTCGTCATATTTGTGTATCTCAGTCAACTTATAAACGTAGCGATTTGAGACCGATTATATCTTTTTCTTCTGTTTGGTATCAAATGTATTGCACTGTGGACAAACATTGGCAACTAAAAGCACAAAAGTCGCCCTCTGTGATTTTTGTGGATACATTTAAAAGCAAGCTCCTGGTCTCAGAAGTATTTCGTTATTTTCTTTACATTTGAGGACTGTGAAGAAGCAGAACATCACTAAATGACAAGCGTATGCTATTTCTAAAAAGCTTGGTATCTGTCTTGTGTCGGAGGCTGAGTTCAGGAGCAGCCACAGACCTGTGCGCTGCCGTGTCTCGCTGCTTCTCCGTTCTCGCTGACACTGGAGAGATCCTCCACCAGAACTGCAGGGAAGACGCCAACCACCCCATTAAACTCGCCCTCCCAGAAACCATCATCCTCGTGGGTCTCTCTGCTGAGGATCCGGATGATGGCGCCTTCTGGAAATGACAGCTCGTCCTCCGTTTGTCCTGCGTAGTCGTACAAGGCCTTTGCAAAGGACACTGCAGCACAGAGGAGAAACCTGTTCAGAGAACTGAAACAGAGGTGGACACCAAACGCTGGCTCCTTCTCCCCTCACCGCTGGAGTCTCCATTAACTGAGCTGCCCGGCAGCTCGGTCTCAGGCTCCGTGGAGTTGCTGGAGGAGTGGGAGCGGGCGTCCAGCGCAGCCAGAGACTGCAGCATGCTCAGCAGGCTGTTAGAGGAGGGCAGCTGGAGGTACTTCTCAGGGACATAGCCCACCTGTCCACTGCGGTTTCTAGCCTGGGAGGAAGCAAAATAAGCCCAGATGGTGACAGCAGCCTGACCACAAATAGAAGCATTCGCTCACCACTGCATGACCCTTCATCTTATCAGCCAAGACATCTTAAACTCTACTTGACATGTTCAAATGCATAACATATGCTGACAAGCTCTGCTCCCTAAGAATTTGTCTTAACTGTGTTCATACTATTAAGATAAGATAAGATAAGAGCTTTATTGATCTCACAGTGGAGAAATTCACTGGTCTCACTGGATTCACTGGAAAATGTGGGGCAGGGAAAGAATGACGATGACTGCCACTACTGGAGCTTGGGCTGTGCTCTAGTGGGGTTTCTTCTGGGTAGTGACCACAGCTTAGAGGCCAGTGAGCAACCATGGGACAGACAGGGCTTCTCTGTGGGTTGAGACAGACAAACCTGCCACCTAAGATAGCAAACTCGGGCCGCGGGTTACAGCGGGCGGACCATGTGTGAGGACCTCCTCATAAGCGGGCGGCCTGGGTTCAATTCCAGCCCATGGCCCTTTCCTGCAGGTCTCCCTCTCTGTCTACCCCCCCTTCCTGTCAAGCTGCGTCATTAAAGGCCACTAGAGCCAACAAAATATAAAAAAATTAAAAAATTTAAAAAATGACCATCTGTGAACCATTTGGACAAGCTTTTTTGTCCTTTATTAGTAGTAGTGTTCAGGAATAATGTAAGGCTCCAATCCATCTTTGGCCCCACTGAGTAGGTGCTGCATGGTGCCAGCCACTAGTGGAAATGTGTCGAGCCGTGCCATGCCGAGCTGAGTGGGCAGTAGTGGAAATGCTCCATGGGTGACTGCAGGACTGTTTAGGTGAGTTTGTCTGCTACATCTGCTCGTGTGTCTGGTCCTGCTCCCACCTCCTGCCCCCTTTATACTTTCATCACCCCCTAGCTAAACCAGGGTCTACCACTTTATCTGCACCTCTGCTGTTTCTACTTCCTCTATAAGTCAAAGTTTTTGCTCTGTAAGAATGGCTTCTTGACAGTCATCCTTCCTTCCTATCAACATCTTTGGCAGTGAGTTTCTGGAAAATTGTCAGGTATAGCAGAGAAAAAGGGAAACAGCAGAGCAAATATTTTTAAAGATCTTCGGAAAATCCAGAAAAGCCTTTGTGCAGACAGGATGACTGGTCATGTCACTCCTTCTAAACTACCGTCAGTCATGAGAAACTAAAACAGAAAGAAGTAATCAAAGTACTTTGACCCAGTCCTCCATGTCTCCATCATCGATGACCTCCAAGATCTCCTGTTCCTCAATGGTCAGTTCATCTGCTTGAGATGCCTGCAAACAACACGATTAAAACTTTTTGTTCAAATGACCAAAAAACACAGAAAAACAGGGTAAAACTCCAACAATGTCTGTTGGTAAGATCAGCTGTCTGCGCGTACCTTGTAGGAGTACAGAACTTTGCATGTCAGCGGATAGTTTCTCAAGGTGCTGGACGGGCTGGAGCTGCTGTCGTCCAGCACTTCACTGCTGTCCTCCATCTCCTCTTCATCTTCTTGCTCCAAATCTGCTGTTCCCTACAGAAATATGACACAAATGAACGCATTTCATCCAGAAGGTGCCTTGTGCTTCTTAGTGTGCACCTCAAAGTTTAACTTGCTGCTGTAATTGTGTTCAACGCTTTGTGGTGTGGGGAACCAATAGGTTGAGTTGGTTTGAAGAAAAGAAAATACACTTTTTTTCCAGGATTATGTCTTTGTGAGTCTTACCGAGAGTGAAGGATCATGAGTAGTGAGGCTGTTCCAGCGTTCATTCTCCAGCTCCTCCATCACCTGGTTCATGGCACTCTTCATCCACGTTTCCACTGCCACTCCTGCCTGCTTGAGCAGTTCCAGGCGAGCCTCTGCTTTCACTTTGACGGTCTGCCACAGAAGAAGAAGGATAAGAAGCTGAACATTATAGAGCAGCAGGTGCACCCAGCACTGGGACCAGAAACAGCCAATCACACGAGGAGCACATGCTTTATCCTGGTTTGTTGGCCTTGGAAGGTTTGGATGGCTGAATAGTGACTGGGTGTAGTTCTAAAACTGCAATACAGGTAGACAGACTCAGCCAGACCAGCTAACCAAACCTTGGTAGATGAACAGATAGATACCTCATTAAACCTGAAGAAAATTCAATTAATGTTTAACATTTTCAGGCTAAAATGGATCACTCATGTTTTAAGTTCAACATTTCAGGGGACGAAAGCATAATAATGGCATTAGTAAGTTCTGTTTATATCATTACATTTTTTGTGAGTCTTGGATGTGTATTTACATTTGAAACAATTTAATAAAACACAAATAAAATAATAATTTCTGCTAAATCAAATTCAAATGCTTATTTATGATTGAATGTTCTCACTAAAATAATTTTACTTTTATATTTCTGATTTCTTCCGAGAAAACTGTATAAATATTTGTGTAAAACCAACTAAAACCCACCTGGAGGCAGAAATATTTGAAGTGGTGTGGATTTAGATTTGGATCTTCATGGTAAAAGTTACCTAACCCTATAATTCATCACTTCTGCTCAGTCACCAGCAGGTGGAGGCCTGGGGCCACCTCCAGAAAGCCAAAACAGACTGCACTGACAAGTGAGAGGTGGACTTTTTACATTACCTCTGCCCTTCGAAGACTCTGCCTGGCCACCTCCATCTTTGTCTCCAGCTCACTGTTGTTCTCTTCCTGTGCTCCATATTCCTCCAAAGCCTAAAACACAGTCACAGACAACCTTAACTGTCATCCAGATTGTACAGAAAGACCACAGGGAATCAGGCTGAGGAAATAACCTAAAGGCACTCTAAGTGACTCGGTTTCTGCTGTACCGGAAGCACAGTGATCACAGTTACTGGAAATCCATCACTGCTGCTCATATCAATCACTTTTTATGGCTTTCATTGCCCTTTAGCCTTCCAGTATGGAAAAACAGGGAGAACTTTATGATATCCAGGTTTATTATTACCAAACTGATATACACTGTTGCTCCCTTGTAAAAGACGAGATTCCAATTCAGTGGAAAAATACTGACATTCCAGACTACATTTCCACTTTTGAGTTGCATCTCAAGTTCAAATCCAAACACCTTCATGGTGCCTTAAAGATCCAGATATCACCATTTTATCCAATAAGAGTGAATTAAGTACTTAAGAGTTTTACATTTTGTTAGTAACCTTTCTGTACATATAATCAAACTAGAAAAATGTATCAAATTTACTTTTTCTATGGTGGTATCGATGTTATTGGTACAGGTTAAGAAGAAATGATCACTTTTCAGCTGAATGAGGTAAAATATTGTCTCTTTTTATTTGTTAAACATCCTCTACTTCCTCTGATGCCTGCACTGCTCACAAAATGTTCAATGTATGACATGAAATGAAAAAGGTTGGTAAGAACAAACACGGAAGAATCGTCATTCTCGTTTGCTCAAGTTAACTTTCCTTAACCTGGCAGGTCAGTTAAACATTGTAGGAGAATAAGATCACGTTTAATAGCTATCTGTATTAATGGTCACACAAAGGAAAGCAGTCCCTTTCCTCACCCTCTGTGTGTGTATGATACTCTTGTATTCTCGGGCCACGCGGCTTGCCCACTTCCTCGCCTCCTTATCCAAACTGTGTTCTTCTGCTGTTCCACTCTCTTTCTGTAGCAGCATCACCTTCAAAAGACAAAGCGAAACAAACATATAATAAATATGGGAGATTTGGCAACCATATGAAACTCTGAAAAAAACACAATGCTCAAAAGTGGCATCTCACACAGAAACAACAGCTTTTTTCTCAGATAACATCCTGTTCTATGCCACTCTGGGACAGATTTTTGTGGTTGTGTAAATTATTTTTTTACATGGCTGAGTAAAGCCAGTGATGAAACCAAGCAACATATATATCATCCTTACTGTTTGGAAAAAGCCATCTGCTGTAGTGAGAATGAGACAGACCATTTTGGTTACCGGCCCAAGGACAGCAGCTTGACGTTTGAGTGTTTGGTTCAGCTTTATTTGAGGAGCAATTCTCATTGTCATATTGAGGTTTATGCCAAACACATGCCATTTGATTGTGCTCCAAGCCTAAATCGCTGCCTCCATGTCCGCTGGTGTTCCCTGACAGCTGTTTCTCTGGGTAGAAAACAAACTGAGCCAGGCCAGCTTTTTGAAACGCATCAACAATGGAGGCACCATCATCCCCTGCCAATGCCAGATAAATAACTAAGCATATGACCTAACACAGCCAGCAGACTGAGGTAAACAACATGATTTAATACCAGCATTTTCCCTCAAGTCCTGATAAGTGTTTAGTTTGCCCGCTGAGGACCTGAACATGTCGTTTCAAGATGAGACACTTGTTAGATTTAATCTATGACTATTTAAGATGTGGTTCTCCCCTTTTCAGCCCAAATGAAATTGAGTTTACGGTAAGCTCAGAACTGTGTGTTTGTGTGTGTGGAGGGAGCAGGCTGGAGTGGTGGGAGGCTGGGGTCATTGCACTCTGATGAGGCCCGCTCACAATGCCGCCTTTTCACAGATGGGCTGTTCACAGGGCCTGGCCTACCACCTGCCCCTCCCTTTCAGTTCTGCCCTATTCCTTACCGGATCCCTCTGTCTGGTGAGAGTGGTATGGGAGGGAGGGTAGCAGGGTGGGAGTATCTCCTCCACTAATGTTTTCTTTAGGAACAGGCTGCTGCTTGTTTGACTTCCAATCAAAACAACGCCAGCAGTTGCAGTTTGAACAAATTGTCCAGTGTTGTCCAGCGGCGCAGAGGGGAGAAGGATCGGCTGTGACGGTCCACTGACCAGAGAGGGTTGGACTCCCTTACATTACAAACGCCCTCAGAAATCATTAGCAAATTTGCTCACCAGGGTTATCTGAAAGCTTGGCACTTTGATTTGCAGCCTAAACCTGAAACCTGCTAGAAAAGCACAGAAAAAGTGTCTTCTAATAGCCCCAAATAACGCTCAAGGGTTAAAACTATTCATTTCAGCTGCAAGTCATTTTCTTGTCTTTTAAAGTGTTCATTTTAGGGAGTGAAGAATATTGCCTCTAACCCTAACCCCTAACCCTAACCCCCCTCATAAAAGTCCAATGGAAGATACAAATAAGTGAAACAGACTCCAGGCAATAGGGACACACAGGGGGACCCAAAAGCCTGAGTAAAGGTGCAGTACAAAGCAGAAGGCACCTGGATAAGCACCCCTATCTCAGCTGGATTTGCTAAGCTTAACAGGCTCTCCCATGTCTATTTATTTGCAAAGCTCCACATTTTAAGAAGCTACATAAAGAGTAGAATGTTTCCATGTCCCTAGCAATAATTTCAGTCCTAAACCCCTCAAGAAAAACGTAATCCTGAAACACAAATTACCCACAAATTTGAAGGAGTGTCAGATAGAAGAGTGTTGACAGATTATGTGAAGGGAGTTCTCAGTTCTTTTGTAACCATCATGAAGATGACAGCCAACTACACCGTGTCCAGTCATGCTGATCTTTTTGCTGGACAACTGCACATTACTATAACAGGATATGTTGTATATGACACACACAATACATTTTTCACATCTCTCCGTCGTGGTGGGTCCTGAATTCTACGTAATGCTTACCTGTGCTTCTCAGGATTCCCAATTACAGATGCAGCCTCTCTTTGCACGTCTGCTCTGTTTCTGATGAACACCAAACTAACTTTTACTCATTTAAAGAGCAGTTTTTGCAAATCTGGCAACATGCGACACTGTTATGTGTACAATGTAAATTCCACAGATACCGTTTGGATTGGACCAGGGATAAACTATAATGATGAACTATTATTCTCTGTGTTGGTGTGTTTATTCATCACACAGAGTAACAGTTTTCTGTGGGGATGCAGGTCAACTGAACTCCTGTTAGTATGAGGCTATGCAAAGCTGCAGGCTGTTTGAATGATTATCCAGATTTGGTGCATCCATCTTGTTGTATTCCCACACCTCACAGAACATGTGCAGTCAGAGTTGGCAGAGGATGGAAATTCGACAGCTGTCTTGATATCAGTATGGTCGTGTTAAAAATATAATAGATTAGAAAAGCAGAGTAGCAAACCAGCTCTAATCAGTGGAGTAATTGAGAAGCACTGATAACTGATCCAGTTTCTTCAACCAGCACGAGACCATAACATGAATAAAACCTGAACTGAGGATGATGCATTTTGCTTTTGATTTTTTTTAAAACTGACAACAGAGATCTTTTTTAGTTGTTGATGGGACTGTAAGACACTGCTCAGGGTCAATGCTTCATGCACTCAGCAGGAAATAAGTAAACAGAAATGTCAGAACTTACTGTGTCGGAATCCATGGGCCGGTACATAAAGTCTGGGGCTTGCTTAAACCCAGAGTTCTTCTGTACAAACATCTGCTGGTGAAACTCCTGCAGAATCTGCAGAACCAGAACAAGCCTGATTTTTTCATGGTGCTTTATCATTAAGATACACTGGCTCAATTCATTTATTCAAAAGAAATCCCCCAGATCTAAATTCTTATTTTCATAAGATGGAGAAGGTGAATTTGCTATTTTCACCAGGGAAACAGAATAATAATTCAATTGTATGTATTTTAGAAAAAATTAAGCCCTAAAAATGATAGTCTGCTGATAAGACGTTTGACAATCATACAATATTATTTTCACATTTTCATGAATTTCAGAAAGTTAACTCATTATGTTATATTAAGGGGCATTATATGTAACAAGCAAACTGCTGCAGTTTGCTAAAGTTACTGCATTCCTTCAGTAACTGACCAGAACTTCTGACTGGCCTGGTAGACTCAGACAGGATGGCTGCATTTTTGCTTACAACACTTAATTTATCTATTCTATTCTATATATATATATATATATATATTTTTTTTTTTTTTTTATTCAAACAGCATAAGTGAATGTTTAAGCAGTTCATGGAAATTACATCTCACTTTTAGATCCCACACGTAGATCCAACATATTGCGTTTCTGTTATCTTTTAATTGGACAGAAGCTGTATGAAGTGTTACAACAGCATTCCAGTCAAAGATTATAGCAGCCTCTGTATCTATCATGCACCCAAATTACCACCACAACCACACAAAAGCTTCAAAATAGATGCGTGAGAAAAACTTAACAGAGAACGTTTCCTAAAATACATGGAGACAACACTATACGACCAATTAACTGGATGCCAAACAAAGAAAAAGAGGTGGGGAACCATGAATCAGTGGCCACTGAAGTGCTGGGGGTCATATGACAAACAGAAAGAGATGGAAGGTTTAAAAATATGGAACTATATTCATCAACGGTGAAGTAAAACCACAGACGGCAGGTGTTAGGACAGCAGCAGTACGTTTGTGATTAAAGAGTGGCACAGCCAAAACAAAAGGAAAAAGAGGGAAATCCAAACAACTACTATCACACTATGGGTTCACGCAAAAGAGGGTTTCATAATGATTCTCTGATTTCTATCCTCTACAATAAGATACATTTCCTCCTATTGGATATACCAAGCTCTATCATTCCAAACTTTTGCTTTCTGTATCCAGATGGTTTTCTAAGAAATGTGCAGAAAACACCAGCTAACCAGTGTGTGAACCTAAATATACTGTGCTGCTGTGTGAAGCTGTGTTTTTCATATCAAACATTCTGCCTGTTCTTCTGCCGCTGGACGGAGAAGAGCTAAAGTACCACCAGAGGAAGTATCACTCGCACTTGCACACAGTTTAATGAAAGTCTCAATGTTAATTTGCTTAAAAAAGGAAAGGTGCATTCTTTTATGAGGAATCCTAATTCTAAGTATAGTTGGAGGTGCTCAGTCAGTCTTTCCACTCATGAACATGGACTTTGGGTTTCCCGACTCACCGCATTCGAGCTGCTCAGAAGCTGGCTGAAGGTTTTGTGGAGAGCCTGATACGTTTCCAGCTCAGTCTGACAAAGTGAGACCAGGTAGTCTTTTACCTGTTCATAGATTCTGCCATCTAAGGTCTGCAGACATGGGCAGAAGATGGAATTTACTCTTGCAGTGCATTTTGCCCTCCTACCACAACCCCTCATGAGGCCCCGGCCTCACCTTGATGCACTCCAGGAGGTCTGTGCTGTAGTAGCGCTGCTGGTGAGCGTTGGCAGCTGCTAGTGTGAGAAGGTAGTCGTTTCTGGCGTGGGTGGCTTTGGAATTGTACTCGCTTCTCTTGGCTTTCAGCTAAAATGGAAGGTCCACATAATTCACTGAGTGCAGCTCTGAAATACAGAGCAGGTGCTGGCATATAAAGATCTACCTTAACGCTGGCCCTCTGGAGACTGGACCTGGACTGGAAGAGACTCAGCTTGGACCTTAAAAATAACAAACAATATGTGATAAACAACAAGTTCAATTCTATTTGTAAAAGTAATGGATCAACTTCCAATTCATGACAAGCCAAACTGGAACCAGCAGAAAGATCTGAAGCTTGTTAACTAATTTTTTTACAATAATCTGCATGCCGTTAATTATCTCTGTTCACATATAAAGCTCAGAAAGTCAGTGCTAGAATTCCAACCCGGGAGCATCCTGATGTGGAGGAAAATGTCTGCTATGTGGTGAGTCAATGAGCTAACGGTCTGCTTGGTGCCAGGACAAAGTGTTGACGGGCAGCTTCTGCCCGAGACAACTTCTAACACTGACAGCAGAAAACTGTCTGGCCATCCAAAAGCTGAAAAGGTTGGTTTTGTTTTCTTCCCTGCTCATTCCAGAGGCAAAGGCAGCAGGCTCTTGGGTGACTGTGCTGCCTTTAGCTTATATCATCAGCATCCATCAGAGCTCAGAGTGCTGCTGAGTGAACTCCACATGCAAGGCGACCAGGTAGCCTACAACAGCGATACGGGAAACTGGGACCTGGGCCAGAGCCCCTTCCAATGCTGGAGTAGCCCCCGGCCGGATCTCGAGTTACAGCTTAGATCTGTTCTAAAGGCTCTGGTTGACAGGTTCATGTCTCTTTGGATGTTTTAGACGGATGAAGGCCTCCGGTGAAAAGTCAGTTTTATGTCCACGCACTTACAGTTTTCTGTGAGCAAGTTAGGGTACAAATATTTTGGTTATTGTCTGTATAACTGGCCACAAGGATTTGAGCCTGATTTCTATGGTGTGCATCAACTGGCCAGTAAACATGTTGCACTAACAATTCACTTCAAACAAAAGCTTCTGGCTGTTTTTTCCTGTGACAATTGTAATCAAGTTTCAAGAACAGGAGCAGCATGTGCTGAATCATTCATTCAAAACGCACAACCTATTGGTGTCCTTAAGACTTATTAAGAGCAGGTTGTGGACCGAGCACTGCTCTCTTTGTTTCCGGCTGTAAATATTTGGACAATGTGGTTTAATCTTCAGAACACACGAGAGGAATGTGGATCCTACTTGGCGTCGAGCTCGGCCTTCTCTCGGACCGCCTGCGCCATGGTCTCAGCCTCCTGGTACTTCTTCCTGCTCTTGGTCAGCTCCTTTACCGACTCCTGCAGCTCAGCCTGGACCACCGTCAGCTGTTCAACACACTGAGGACGATCAGAGTTGGAGAAAAGAACAATTTAGTTTTGCGTGTGTGCAAATGATCGTTCCAGCAGTGCATCACAGGGGGGAAATGCAAATGCCCCTAAAACCACATCTACAAAGGATAAGCAGTGACATAATGCCATGCGTTATGTACAGGAGCTATAATGGCAGCTCCAGAAACAAGAGCAGTATTGTTAGCCATGGGCAGTGGAACCCAGCCAGCAGGGAGCAGAGAGCTTATGTTTCTGAGCAGTGAAGGTGAACCTGCAGTCCAAAAGACACACACGGAGCTAATGGCTGCTCCCATTGATAAGAACACTGCATTACGCTTTACATTACTCTGTTGATTGTAAAGTTTATTTAATGTTTTTTTAGTTTTTTATCTTTTATTTTTATTTTATATTTCTTTTTTTTTTCTTCTGTAAACGGGTGCACTGCAAAAAAAAAGAATTTCCCGCAAGGGATTAATAAAGTAATTCTGATTCCCATACATTAAAAAACAACTTTCTTTCAAAATAAGTATTACAAGACATTACTATCAACAACGACCTCATTTAACTCAACATCCATCATTCGAAATCTGTCAACTTTTCATTGACTAAAATGTCCCTGCTGTATTTTAGTTGTGCCTTTAGTGTGTTGAATATGATTAGCCTTCTATCTCAATGGACTGCCTTCATTTGTACACGTTCAAAACAGTATGTCTTTTACATTCTGAGTCCACCTCCGTTAGGATTTGTCTGTCTTGTTTTGACGGTGCACGCAATTAATCTTGAGCAGGTGTTCTTCTTAGCACATGATGAGAAATAGACCAGTATAGAAATAAGAAGTGTGTTGTGAAAGTGCTCTGTGTGACCTTTTGTGTTAAATGAGTAACCTCTACTTTGTTCCTGTTGGTGTGGCAGAAACGGGAAGCTGTGTTATCAGTGAATTCACCTTTCATCATTGAGGCTGAGGAGTGCCTGGCTAACCTTTCACAGCTTCTCTAGTTTAACACAAAATGAAAAATGTGTACGAGAGGGGGGCTATCTCTACACATTCAGTTTTAGCAAAGACAGTAATGTCTGATTTGAGTTGAATGTCTGCCTGAAACACTTGAGCATACTGTAAATCTTGTCAACTATTATCCTTAGAATAAAAAATTATTTAAGAAATGCCATGACTTCAGTCCAAAAAGACATTGTTTTCAAAGCCATGTTGTCTGTTCAGATTCACCGTGTCTTCCTCAGTACGTTACAGGAATCAAAAACACAACAACATCCTGTTGGCTCCAGTGGAGCTGTGGGCCCGTTTCTAAATACAGCAGTGGCAGAAACCTGAGCAGTGCTGTCAGACTGGCCGGCATTACCTTCCTGAGCTGTTGCTCCTTCTGCAGTCTGGCTGTCTTGGTTGGATCTGCAACTTGGACTTTGTAGTTCTCACAGGCACCGATTCTGCACTGAGCAGCCTGGACAGTCCCCTCCAGGTATGCCCTCCACACACAGTACATGTTTCTACATCACACAAACACACAGGCTGGGATTAAACCTCTTCTCTTTTGTGGATGGTAGAGGATGAGCTTTGATGCTATGGTTGCACAGTCAAGCTTCACTTGTGTACATACAGCTAATTTATGGCCCAAGAAATGAGGGCATCATTTACTGCACAAAGGTAAAAAGAAAATCATTGACACAGGATTTATTTGCAATGCCTTTTAAAACCTCAAAGCTGTACAATTAAACTTTTTCCAGTCAGCCTCTGAGGAAACATGAAGCAAAGACATTGAAGACTTTAAACTCTCAGGTTTTATGCTGAATTTGTGGGCAGTAAGACATACTCTTAGCTCTGCTAGCAGAAACACATGACTCCGCACACACAGTAGATGATTTGGGTCCCATCAGTGGCTGAGAGCACGAGGAAAATATGATAGATGATGATATAGGATCAGAAGGTATCAAAGGACTAGGATAGCAAGCAGAGGTAAGAGCAAACAACCCTGACTGTTTGTTAATAGAAGCTATAATTCCACCACAAACAGAATGTATGGTCTGATATCTGGCTGCATCAGAAAGATTCCTTTATCTGAAAGCTTGATGTGCCATTGTGATATGAGAAATCATTCAATGCATGCGTCTGTAGTGAGTAGAAACATTCTACATTTGAGAGTTTATCTGTTTTTCTGAGCTCAAACAAAAAGGCTCAACAAAGAAAGCTTTCAGAGGCTGTCAGCAGGTCAGAATCGTGTCTTCTAGATTCCATGAGTGAAACATGTCTGAATTGGCATAACCCAGGTAGTATAGGAATTCCCCTCATTTGAGTAGATGATCATGGGCTAATCTTGCCTTTCATGTATGTAGAGGAAAGAGGTAGGCTCTTTTGAATCAAACAGAGGAAGCAGCCTCTGTTAGTAACTTCAGTCAGTCTTTTCCACACTGTTTTACAGACTAATATAAGAACATTCAGATATGATATCAGATCGATTTAGCATGACACAAGTCCTTGACTAGTTGCTATCATTTACACTATGTAAATAAAGATAATTTAATCTCACTGATAAATGTTTTATGTGGACTAAACAAAAGCAGAAAAAGACTTTACCGGTGATCTTCCTCCTCTGTCACACTCTCTGGCCATTCCCGCTTCAGATACTGATTTGCCAACTTCTGTAAAGCCTGAAAACAACAATTCAGACACAAATGCAACTGTTACAGCAGTTCACAATTCACATCTCTGCTTTGAATATGAAAAAAAATCCACAGTAGCACAAGTTAGGCAGTGGCACTTCAATATGTAGAGTATTTTCTGGTTACTTTACTTTACTGTAATGATTTGAATGTGGGTCAACACTGTGCGCCGGTGTTTGCTGATCACCACAGCTTCATTTAGGATGGATGTTGGTTTGCTTGCAGAAGCCCCCATAAATCCCCCCCTCTGAAGTGAGTTTATTTTTAGAAGAAAAATGTAATTCATTTACATTACATTCAGCTCTGGAGAAGTACGAGGTTCTTCTACCTCAGCCAACACAGCATTTTATCACTGAAGACCCAAAATAGGATAGAGAAGCAAAAACATGTGTGTTGGTATGAGTGTAAGTCACTGAGAAGGGAACACACAGATGAGGGTGCCATGGACTGATACAGTAATAGAGATTCATGAAGTTTACCCAGAAAAGTTGGGTTAAAACTTGGGTCTAAAAATGGAACACAGCATAATGTTCATACTCCCTGAACACTCCCTGCTCTCAGCTTTCTACAGACTATTGGATACGTTATATAAAAAGAAAGTTTTTGTTTGCTCAATCATCCAATCATATCTTATCATGAGAGGACATTTGATCAATACCATGGAAAAGGGCAGAAAGTTGGTCACTCGGAGGACAGCTCATGGGATGGAGGGTTTCAATCCGACGGACTGTAAAATAAATAATTCTGACCACGACATAAGTCCTGATATGCTGCTGGCCAGGGGAAACCGGAGAACTTAGGAGCTCAAAAGAACTATTTTTTTAAGAAATCAACAAAAGACAAAAATCCCTACTAAAATATAGAAAAGCAAAAAACCCTAGAACCTGAAAACAAATCCAGAAACAAAGAAGCAAACGTGGGAAGGGAGCTGGAGACACTGGAGGAAAAGGATGGTGAGCATAGCTGTTGTGGGAACAGTCACTTACAGCTGGGATCTGACACGGAGGAATGAACCAGGAGAGAGCATGAAGGGAGAATGGCTGTGAGGGGAGGCAGCTGAGAGTGGAGCAGGTCAGGAGGAGAACCAGCAGAAACCAAAGGCAGTGAAGGTGTCAGAGACACGGGACAGAAAGTAAAACCAAGAACATGGTAATAGAACTAAAGAAAACTAGAAACTCAACCTGGAAACACAGAAATGTAACATGGAAGCTCTGACGCTTTGATGGGGTCATGGGTACATGATGTATTTGGGGATTAAACGCGGGACGGTGTGGTCACATGACAATGGTCATTAAATCAATGTAGCACAAACTAGGCACTGACAGAGGCCCCGGGGTAGCTAGCTGGAGACCCCTCAGAAAGCCTCTGCCCACTGACAAGCGTGGCTCAGAAGTAGGGGACGGTGGCCTGGTGTGACTGGCTGGATGTGTGTGGCAGCAGAAGGTACACGGCAGGAAGAAGCTGGGCTGTCAGAGGTACTGTTCTGCTGGAAAACCACTTTGTCTGTTTAAAATCACTCTGATTTCAGCGCTGATAAAGATGCCTTTGTTTTTAACCATATGCCCTCATAGCAGTTTTCAGCTTCAACTGTTTAGATCCCCAAAGACATATACAGCTCATGAAAACAGGGTACACACTAATACAAATCTTTACTGTAAATCTGCTTCTGATTTCAGTTCTTCCGTTGTGACAGATTGCCCTCTAACTGCGCTGTTTATTCTTAAGACTCAGGTAGAAGGCACCTTTTGATGTGATGTTACTAAACACTGTGTGTTTTTATGCTCAGCAGGTTTTGCTTTGGGCCATGAACGTGCTCCTCAACGAAATGAGTTCATCCTTCTTTCCTCAGTCTAAAGCAAAAAAGACAGCCCCTGTTATTGGGTCCTGAGGCAGGCCAGGCCTGGCCCCTAAACCTGCTGGTCTGGGTGATCTTTGTGCCAAACCTTCTAAGCTGCTACAGGCTCGGTCATTGTGAGCCTAAACAGAGGAAGAATCAGTAACTGAACTGACAGGCTTGAATAGTGGGATGGGAATAAGGGCAGGGGATGAGGAGGAAGAGGAATGTGAGGACTGCAGAGGAAGAGCCACACAGAGAAGGACTTTTTCATCACACTGTGTGATGTGAATAGCAATCAGCAAAAGGCCACAACAGCTTGCAGGTGTAGGAGATATCTTAAAAGAGGAGATCTGAGAAGGGGGTGTAACTAAAGCAAGCTAAGTGTTCCAGAAACACTCTGACCCACTTTGATCCAGCAACTGGCAGCCAGTGTCTGACCACAAAACTGAAGGCCAGCACCAGCACAGCGTCCTCTCCCCTTAAACAGGGTTTGCATTTGCAGGACTACAACCAATCATTATTTTCATCATCATTTAAGTTATTGTATTTGTTTCCTCAAAGTGATGAGTGAGTTCTGTTACAGGCTGACAAGTCCTGGAACAAAGGGACTGAAAAGCTGGAGGTTGTCTGAATTCAGATAGGAGATGTGTGTGTAACACCCACCTAAAGCAACACTTTTCTCTAGACTGACAGGTTGACTATACATGTTCTACCTCCTTTTGTTGTTCCGACACTATAAAGAAAAACGACAGGGCAATGTGGATCCAGGAAAGTAACACAAATAAGGTACCAAGAGATAATGAAAAAGTATAAAAGGAACAAGTCTGACTTGGTTCTGAGAAAGTTCTCATAAAAAAAAACCCAGACTAATACACCTTACACATCTGAGGAGGCCATGGATATATAAAAAATTAGAGTTGATTTTTGGACTCATGCCTGAGGTCAGCAGCATTTGGATATGGACTGCACGGCTGTGTCAAGCATAGCCTGACAGAAGCAAAGCTGAATTTTGAATAATGAACCTGACAAGGACGTTCATCTATTTTTTGTAAATCTTTTGGCAAGACTTTAAAGCTGTCCCAAATTTCTACTCAATCTAGTTGATGTGAAATCGATGTTAAATTGAAAATTCACACTGAGAGAACCTCAGTGAACCACAGACGTATTGCCACTGCTTTCACTTCACTCCACACATTTAGCAGCAACTCAAACAGTGATTGCCTTTATCTGTCTGAACTCTCAATCATGGCTCCTGTTTCCTGGTTTTCAGACATTTCAGCTCCATCATAACTTAACTACTTACTTTAACTACTAACTTAATTAACTTGAAGCTTTTTTGCATCAAAAATGAATTGTTTGGACTAAGCTTTAACACATCTGTTCCCAGTGGGACACCACCCAGCGTCGGTCTTTGGGGGGCTACAGCAGGCCTACTCTGAACAGCTCACAGACAGCAGAGCTGCTCTCTTAGTTATGTTTACTGGTGCAGTTGGCATGGTAACGTTGTCTTGGTCATTTAGCTGGACCTCCGTTCCTGTCCAACATGCATAAACAGAACAAAGCTGGTTTCAGCTTGACCCGTTACCCAACAGACCAAAACACCTGTCACACAATGTCCCAGGTAGCACAGCATAGCTATGTGAGTGCCAGAGCCTTCTGTTAGCGCCGAGTCAAAACTGGAGAAAGGTACAAAAAGTGTAGAGCATTCACTGGGTGAATGCCTCTTTTGTCCCTATGAGTGTCCACATAAAAGATTCATTTGACTCCCAACAACACTGTCGACTCTGTGTGTCAGTCAAACATGTAGGGCTCCACAATATGAGGAGTGTTTGATAATATGAACAGGACTTGGGACTGACATACAAAATGTTTTCCAACATATAGTGCAACCATGTGAACATGTCTAAAGCCTGCTCTGACATTCGGATGATCACTAAATTTGACCAGATTTTGGAACTTCAAAGAAAACACTAGATTACCAAAAATTTCAGATTGCCAAATGACAAAGTGAGGACCGGACATAAAGCATTTCTGAAACATGTACAGCTGACATGCAGTACAATTCTTTCTTGAGCATGTAAAATAATTTACTCTGAAATTCAAGTCAGACTTACTATGTATGCCTTTGGTTGAATGTTCCAATAATTCCAGTGAAATAGATAGGTGGAATCCTTAACAAGGACAGAGTCTTACTTTCAGTTTGGTTTATAAAGCACACTACCTCTGACGTTTTTGTAACCTCATTTTACAGGCTTTTTACAACAGAGCCCCACAGAGGCAGGCAGGCCTGGACGGTGGCTCTTTACAACAAACATGGCTGGCTCTTTGCAGTGCTAATGGACATTCCTCACTGGGCTGCAAAACCAGAACAGAGCCAACAGGGACACTCAAAATCTCCAGGAAGCTGTGGGCAAAAAAGAACACAGCGTGGAGGAAATGAGCCGCTGGATCACTGAAATATGTTGTTCCTCTTTGTTGTGGTACTCTTTCTGAGGTTAGTTTCATTCATGAACTGTCTCCGTTATGAAAACTAAAACCTTTTTCAGGGCCATAACCTCAAATCTGTAGTTATATGGTATCTAATAACTGTAACGTTAAAAAAAGGGGCCTGTTCTCACCGAGACTAATGACAAGGCTGTGCAAAAAAAACAGCATCAAGAAGTGGTGAGGAGAAGACAACAAAAGCAGTAGGATTCATGGGGATTTCCACCATTCTCAGCACGTCTGGCCTTCATTTATCTACTGCTTTGGCTTTCCATCAGGGGCTGGTGCCTCCTAGCAGTTACAGTTTTAACACCCACAGCCGGCTGTGGACCGGCCCGGCTCCGTGTGGCTCGGTAAGAGAGTCCTCCACGTGAACCCACCCATTTTAAAAACAAGGCCTCAACAAACATGCCACTGAATTATTCCTGTGATCATCAGCCTTGTAAATGTCCAGTACAGTCCAACACTGAGGGTTTGGACTGTACTGGACATCACCTACAAATGACCTCACAGGCAGGTCACCCATCAAAGGAAAAGGAGCTAAAGTGTCTACTCACTGAAAACCTCCAGTACTTACCTGGGCGTAGTCTTTTTCCACAGCTGCCCTCTTCTGGCTGAATGTCCTTTAAAAAGGTTTAAAAAGAAGATAAATTAAAGAGAGAATGTCAGCGGCATCATGACAAAAATGATGAGGCAAAGAAGGCATAATTTGATGAATATAAGAGATGGCTAATGCCGGTGGGGCTACTTTCTGGAAATGCAGAGAAGAGGGTTAGGGATATACCTAAATACTGTACTAGTTGTAGTTAAATAATATGGTTAGATTAATCCATGCTAATTGACTGATTTTGTTTTAAGGGGCATATTTTAATTTCCCTAAGTATCAAACTATTCTTTTAAAGGTCAGAAACTTTCGGCTAGCTGGCCTTGCTTTGAAGGGCTGTTTTCTGCTGCCACTTCCACACATTGGAGCCAGGCCTAAGATCAGATTTGATGTTTTCATCTGTAACTACTCTTATCCTTTCAAGTATTTCTTAACTCATTGTTCTTCTGCCTTCATTTCCTCTTCCATCACCACATCTTTTCCTCAGCTGCCTAATGTGGCCGTTTGGGATGATACGGTCTGGTGAAAGAAGTTTTCACTGTGTCAGATTTACCTGCGGCTACTTCGTTTTTATTTCCTTTTCTACAGTCATTTCCCGTGAGATGCTCAAGAAAAACTTGGAATACACTCATGCAAAGGTTTCTGTCCAAATGTTTTCCACAGATGAACATCCTCATCTGGTTTCAGAAATACAGATCAAAAGAATGTGCTGAGAAATGTGACACATGCCAGTAATTTCATTCCTGCTCTTTAACCATTTCAGATTCATTTGTAATAACGAGATAATGACAAGTCAACTGAGGTTTAAGCCAAAGTCTAAGAAAAGAAGAGGTCAGTGCCCTGGGAAAAAATTCTCTGCAGCAAAATCCTCATTAAGTCATTAAACATGTCAAGACTTGGCTGCCATGCTCCACCCTGACTCTAAACAATCTGGAACACTTCCTGGGAGCTTCCCCCTCTTCCTCTTCTCTGCATTTCCACAGCTCCCACTCTTCCCCCAACCCCCACTCTCACTTCCTGTCATTTTCCCAAACAGAGATTTGCTGACAACTCAAGGCAGTTTCCAGTTTGCTGAATCACGTCTGGTCCCGGAAGAAAAGCCCCCTAGTCCAGTGTAAAATTGTTTCTGGTGGACATGGGTTACAGAGCATCCCACAGAGAACTATTGAAGACAGTCAGAACATCTGGCAGCTCTCTATGACCCTAACTTCCAGCTGTTTGGAGGTCTAGAGCTCTGCCACCAACCACAGGCAGGAAGTGGGGAGCCAGTGGGCTGTCAACTCTATCCAACTGCAAGGTTTAAAACACAACCACAACCTTTAGCTTTTGAAGCCTTAAAATGCCTCCATACAGGAACAAACAGCTAAAGATGCATGTGTCTCTACACACAGTTTACTCATCATACACAGATCAACAGAACAACAGCAAAGCACTTCCCCTCCTACAAGGTAAAAACAACCTCTTCCAGCTCTAAAAATGGCACTTTGTGAGTTAAATTAGAAGTAAGAAAGAGGTCAACCTTCAAATGAACCATTATGTTTCAATATAACTGAGCTTCAGAAAATCTCACATGGAACTTTCTCCGAAAACTATCTGGTTTAAGATGAGCATGTCCACCAAAGCACGTGCTGATACAGGCTGAAACTTTGGTGGTTGTAATGTCAAAGGATGCTTCTGACACTAACTAAGAAATAAATAAAAGTAAAAAAGAATTATTTGTGTTTCCAGGGGGTCTAAAGTAGGGAGTGGATCAGGCCAATGTGTCTAATTGCTTATATCTGCACACGTATTTGAGGAGATGCTCTAAAATGCAGTGAGTGTAGCCACAGAAAAAAGCAGAAGCAATGACAAACTGATCAATGTGGCTCCTTCCTGCACAGGTTCATCGTATGGGAGCTTTAACACATGCAAAAAAAACTACAAAACAATGGAGGACCCATTGCCACCAAAATCCAAAATCACACAGCTAGAAACTGTCAGTTCAGATATAAAACCTCTGCCTTACACCCAGTCTCAGCTCAGACGGGAGCACACGTGTTGGTATGATTCTTGATCTGCTTCAGCTGGAGGACGTAAGGCTGAAATCTGCAGGATGGATGGGGGACAGCTGACTGTTGTTGTTGTTGTTGTTGTGGACAACTGACTGTTGTTGTTTTCACACAACTAAAGAACTCATTTATTCCATCAAATCTTTTTTTGACTAAAATAAATAAAAGACCCTCGTACATATGAGCCTGTGCTAAGCTTTTCCGGGTAAACTACAGGGGGGTCCCCAGTCAGCCCCCCCCCAGTCAGGCCCCTCTACAGGGGGTACCAAGTCAGGCCCCCCTACAGGGGGTCCCCAGAGTGTGCTCACCTCAGATCCTCCAGCAGCTCACATTCTGTCTGGTGTTTGATGTGCAGTTGGCTCATCTGCTCGGCATGAGTGTGCTTCAGCTCCTGGGTGACCCGGACCTGCAGGGAGATCAAAGCCGCTCGCTAAGTGGAAGCCAGCTACTCCATAGTGCTGATTCCACAGAATTCATATCTGCACCCATCGGTAAAACCAGGGCAAAGCAGAGCTTCTGGCATTCTGCTGGCTGTAAAGCACACTGGGCTGATCTCATCACAGACAACACATATTTGGGTCAGTATTTGTACCGTAACAATCCGAGGCTTCATCTAAAAAAGACTGGCAGAATCTGGGGGTTTACCTGAATTAAAGGACATATCTCTTGAGCAGTTAAACCTTCTACTTACTGGTAGTTAAGCCTCATTAGTAAACTACTTTTGTCCACATATTCATGACTTTTCCTCAAATTCAGCCATTAGTCACATTAACGCCCTGCTCCAGCGTTTAAAGCTAATTCGTGTTACAACAGTGGGGATTCCTTTGAGGGTTCCTGTCCCGTTTGTCATGGGGTAGGGGCTCAGGTACAGCTCAAATAGATATTAAAATGATAATATGATTATTTTATTAACAACCAATCAAGAGCCCCATGTCTGTCAGAAATGAGCAGGAAGCAGTTTTGACCATTGTGAAACCCTTTAAAAAGTATTTCTTTAAACCAGTGAATCCCTCCAGTCAGCAGCACTCAGGTGGAGTCCAGCCAGGCCAGTGAGCAGCTGTTATTCCCAGTACGTGGGGGTGTTACAAACTGGTCCTACTCAGGTTAAACACTAGAATTACCTTCTAAAAATATTATATATTAAATCCCCTAAATGACAGATAAAAAAAAGAAAAATCCCAGAAAATAGTTGCCAACCCAAACTGAACAGAGAAGTGGAGCGCTATAAAAGCTGGTTTCTGTATAGAGGACAAACCATCACACATCATTCCTCTGACCCCAGCCTGGACATCCCACCAAAGCCCGGCCACACCTGACCACTACAGCCCCCGTCCTGCCCCCCCAGGCCGGGCTCAGGGACACCTTAGTAGGTCCTGCCCCCCCAGGGACACCTTTAGAACCATGAGCACCAGAGGCCACTTGGCCATGTAGTCAGCCCTCACGCGCTGGAGGACAGGAAGTCTTTCGGTCATCAACGGGGCCAAACACTTCCCCAGGGGAGCACACCTCCACTAAAAGCCGTCCTCCTGCGGCCACCCGTGTTAGCCGGCGTCCCGGAGCCCCCCGGGGAACCGGGGACCTCCCGGAGCCCCCCAGGGAACCGGAGCCCTCCCGGAGCCCCCCGGGGACCCGGGGCCCTCCCGGAGGAGGCTGGCTGAGTCTGTCCGGGATCAACGGCCAGCTCGGACTTTTGGGCTCTTTAGGAGCACCGATGTGACAACTTCTGCTCCCACTCGCGTTTTAGGAGGAAGCGGGAGAGGGAAATAACGGTTACCGCCGATGGAGGGAGAACTCTCTCCTAAAGTCACTTAACGGGACACTTGTTGGTGAGGTCCCGGCGGCTCCGGGCTTCGGTTCCCCGGTTTAGAGGCTCCACGGACCGGCTCCCCGTCGCTGCCTAAGCCGCTACGCACTCAGGAGCTCTGAAACCAGCAGCCGGGTGGTTTTCCAGCGTGCGGCAGCCCGGCTGCGCCATTCCGGAGGGAACGAGGCTCGTTACCGTCTGTTCTCCCCAAAAGAGCCCAACTCCTGCACGCATTTTCCTCTGCCCGTTACAGCCACACAAAGAAGGAGTCAACCATTTCCAGCCCAGCAAGCGGTGGCATTGTTGTTGTTTTAAAAGAGTAGGAGTTGGAGGTGTAACTCAGACGAAAAGCAACAAAGCAAAGCGTACTTTTCCAACCATTAAATATGCACCACTCCGTCGAAGTAACGTTAGCTTCGGAGGCTACAGCGGCAAAAACTCACCTTTCTTGGTGGGGGTTGCATTCTTATTTCTTGACATAAAACTTACAAAAACGCTAACAGTTTACCTGTAAAAGTTTCTAGCTCAAAGAAAAGATAACGGTCAGGATATTTCAGTCTGAGTCAAGCGACCATGGCGAGTCACATAATTAGTAAGTTGAGTCCCGTTGAAAAACTGTGGCCCCACAGAACATAAAAACACAGCCATAAATTGACCCACGTCAAGCACCACACATCCGGCCAGACTTTCAGAATAAAACCACTCTCGAGCAGCACTTACGGATATGCTTCTCTAAATAAGAGGGTTTTCATTTGAAAAAAGTTATCTTAAAATGACAGATGACAGCACACACGCATCTTATAAATACCAACAGATGCAAAAGACCACTGATCATACCGTACGACCTGGTAATAGACAAAAGCACTAAGAATTGCGCAATTTCTTCATTAGCGAGTCTTCGAATTATTATAATAAAATATCGTTTGCCTAAATGTTCGTTGGTCCCATTTGTCAATGATAATGTTATGTGTTAAGTATGTCCGGCCGCGATGTTGAATAGGAATAACAAGATATACAAATTGATGGACGGACATTTATAAATGAATCCACTGGACGAGTCAACGACTATTTAAAGATTCTTTTGATCATTTTTAGCTGATCAAATATGGGATATTTTTGTATTTTCTTGTGGTTCAAACACATGTATGGTTTTGAAAATGTGTTTTCTAGCCTACTTTTATTGGCATGTATAACAGTGGAAAGTATGTGGAGGCTGTACCCAGTGGGTTGTTCTTTTCTCCAATTGGTCCACTTTTGTCACATGATAAGCCACTGCCTCCCTCCACAGTCAGATGAAGTTAAAATGATTATAGCTACCAGTTCCTGCAGTTTTCCAGACTAATTTATAATTAGTTTTAAATGACGTTCGATAGAAACATCAAGATCAGTGAAAGGAATATCTTGAAAGCTTATGTATACTTTTTATGAGAAAATGATCATTTGCTTTGTTTAGCATGTAATGTGTTTGTCCCTCAAACACATTATACGGACAAACACAGGTGATTACCCATTGTAAACTTTAATATCATTGCATTCTTCTTGTACAGATGTCTTGATTTACAACGTTTATTTACGACCGTGGCTCGTCAGGTTTGGCCATGTGGCGTCGTTACCATGGCAACCGAGTAGGTAGAGCTGGCAGATTAACTGCGATGGCGTCATCACTGCCACTGAGAGAGGATTTACAGACATTTCCTTTATCTTTTGTCGTAATCACAAGATCAGGACGCCGCAATTACGAGAAAAGATCTCCGAACTATGACAGATTTTCTCGTTTTTTTAATCCAGTGAACGCGACGCATTTCCGTAAGGCGCGAGCCCAAACTTGTACTTTTATTTTGAAGGGCAGCGCCCTGAAACCGGTTCCGCCGGTTATTTTTGAGTGAACCCCGGCCGCTTCACCTTCCCTTGCCCTGGCTTTCAGACTCCAGCGGGGTCAGTACCCGGATCCCGCGGTGAAGGGGCCCAGCAGGACCCGGTCCCGACCAGCACACTCAGCCCAGCAGCCCGCCCTCAGCGGCCATGTGCGCGTGCAGGCGGCTGCACGGCCCAGCGCGGGCAGCGCGCGGAGCCCTGGCTCCCGCCGGGGGGGCACGCGGACAGGGAACGGGCTGGCGCGGACACCTGGTGTCCGGTCAGAGCCTGAGCTCCAGCGGACCTCTGCGGAGTGACTTCTTCAAAGGTTGGTCAATCAGTAGCCAACGGGGAAACCGGAAGTGATCCAGAGTTCCTTCATTTAAAGAAAGCTAGTAAGTTTTATGCTCGTGCTCCTCGCCGTGAGGATCCTAGTTTTCTCGGCTAGCTTACGGGGGTCTGAGTCTTTCCCACCGGTTCTCCGGGGCTGAAACTGCAGCTGGACTCGTTATCGGAACGGGGGCCGGCTGGAGCCACAGTGGGCGGTGGGGTGGGGGGGGGGGGGGGGGGGGGTAAGGGGGGGTCTTCAGGAACTCTGACAGAGCTGTTTAAGCCTGAACGGTAACCAGGTGACATTTACCACTCGTCATTTTCAGACAGAAAATTGTGAGTTTGCGTCAAAACTTTCCACCCCCACGGAACAAAAAGCGCCCCAGCTGCAGAGTAAAGCTCCTCTCATGTGTATGTTTGCGTTCTTAGACTAACCATAGTCCGGGAGTTCGATATTTGAATGTCATGAAATATTAAGATGTGTTTTATTTTGAAACCCAACCCGCCGGCTCCTTCCGGCCTGCTGCAGCTGTGCACTGCTAGTAGGAAAACTAGAGGTGAATTGCAAATACTGTTCAGAGTATAAAATGACCTGAAGACCAGAGGCTGTTTGCAGAGAAGTGAGAAATCCGGGTTTCTCAGAGGATGTTTCTGACTGAGTAACACCGAAAGAACAGGAAGCTTGTTTAATAGATAAAAGTGCTCAAACATTTACTGTCATACTATTAAATATCCAACCTTAAATATTACAGATTTACTATGTTTTCATTTATGTTAGTACATGTTCGTAAACGACGTATTTCCCATTTTCCCAGAAAAACAGAATGAGAAGCTGTAACAGTGGTTATTAAGAGTTGTTCTTTATGTTTTTACCTGCTCAGACCTGGAGTCCCACTTTGCAGCGATGAGAAAGAAGGCCAAAGACGCTCTCCCCGGCAGCGGATGGAGTCCATTTGAGATCAACCCCAACCTTCCTCCAGAGAGAGCAGACATTGTGATCGTGGGAGGGGGGGTGGTGGGCTGGTCCATCGCCTACTGGTTAAAGCAGAGGGAGAGGGTGCGGGAGGGGGTCCGAGTCCTGGTGGTGGAGAGGGACCCCACGGTGAGCCGGCGGCCGTCAAATACTAGTTGTGTGGTTTGTTTTCAGGCTTCATTTGATCAGCTCAAAGTGTTGAACTCTGTTTCTCCTGAAATCTACAGTCATCTCTTGGTTTTGTTTACATCCACACGGGGGGCGGGGCGGGTGAGGCCTTTGGTCTCATCCACATGAACTGTGCTCACCAAAGCAGGTCTTTTCTGTCCATGCGGCCCAGACTAACTGACCCCTCCCTGTCCACCTGCTGTCCGCAGTACTCCCAGGCCTCCACGGTGCTGTCAGCAGGAGGAATCCGCCAGCAGTTCTCCCTCCCGGAGAACATCCACCTGTCCCTGGCCTCTGCACACTTCATGAGGAACATCAACGTAGGTCCCACTGAGGCTCACCGGGAACCCATGAGTCTCTAAATCAGTGTCACATCAGGTGACGCTACATGAACAAGAGCAGTTTGTGTTATATGTCTTGTAGTGCCGTTTGACAAAAAGGTTTCATTAAACAAAAAGGTTTCATTAAACAGAGACGGCTCCCGAAGCGGGCGCCTGGGGCTGAGTCAGGAAGGAAAGTTAGGACCAAAAGCCCCTCGTTCAAACACGTATTTCAGCCACCTGAGAACGTCTGGATTCTCTGACGTCTCATGTGACAGCATTTGAAAGCAGACGTATTATTTGCGTGTAGTTTCCAGGCGTGCTGTTGTTTGAATCCCTGTGTTCATCAGGAGCATCTCAGTGTGGTGAACCAGGACCCCGTGGACCTGCAGTTCAACCACTCAGGGTACCTCTTCCTGGCCAGTGAGGAGGTGGCTCACATCATGGAGAAGAACTACAACACCCAGAGGTATGGTGAGCCACTCAGAGGCAGCTGGGGGGGGGGGGGGGGGGGGGTCCAGGCCTCCAGCAGCCTCCTGACGCTGTGTTTCAGGCAGGCAGGAGCCAAGGTGTCTCTTCTGTCCCCCTCACAAGTGAAGGGCAGGTTTCCATGGATTAACACCGAGGACGTGGCGCTTGCCTCCTATGGTGAGTCCCACAGATCTGACCTGAGGGGGGGGCACCAGGGCAGCCACAGGGTGTGTGTTCAGCTCCGTTTGGGTTACGTTTGGGTCGTCTCTACTTCTAAACCCGATTCTTACCATTTGAGACGTCTCAGTTCAATTGTAAATCCGTATTTCCACATAGTTTTCAGGTGAAATGCAAAGCTGATTGGTGATCTTAAATGTTGGGAATACTCCCTGTAACACAGCCTGGGTTCCACATGGCTGTGTTACAGACAATGCTGGTCACCTACCGGAAACACACACCAGAGATTATTTACAGCAAGTTAGCTCGGTGTTTATGTTCAGGCGGATCCAGGAAAGTAAGTTATCTACAGGTCAGATCCTGAGCTTCTCTTTCTATCTCAGACAGTATGATTTTTCACACCAGCAGACAGAGTTTAAAGACTTGCTTTAAAAAGTCTGCTGGAGACGCTCTAATGCAGACAGTCTCCATCAGTCCAGGGCCGGACTGTAAAGCCATGTCCTGGCATCAGTCAGAGGGACCAGGGGCCCCTCCTGCCAGCAGCAATAACAGAAGGCTTTGTGGGAACCTTAATGTGGATTTATTTAGGACTCCTTCCCTTAATGTGAGTCATGTCATTTACCCTGTCAGAGCCAGCTCCTGTCTGATCTGCGCCTGCTTCTCTCCAGGGCTGGAGAACGAAGGCTGGTTTGATCCCTGGACTCTGCTGAATGCCTTCAGAAGAAAGGCCATCTCTCTGGGAGTTACTCAGTGCTTTGGGGAGGTCACAGGTCCGTTACACAACAAGTCACACAGTAAACATGGAGACTGGGGAGTGACTCCCCCCCTACAGGGACCTCCACACAGTGGACTATAGGTTATGATAAGCTGGTTATCTTTGTGTACTCCTCTTCTCAGCAGCCTCCAACATATTTTTTTATATATAATAAATAAGAATAGGGTGAGTTGACAATGATATGTAGTTTTAAGAACAGAAGCTGAAGATGGATGGAACCACCACCTGCTAGTTTTATTGAAATCATCAACTCTAAAGATTCATTTCAGACACAGAAGTGTCAAAAGTGTGAAAGTACATGTTTAGTAAATGACCAAAGTATTCATAACTACAGATGAAAAAAAATAATATCACAAATGGTGTAAAAGCCAGTAAAGGTAAATGCTTTGGGCTTTAATTCAAGGTACTTGATAGCAGCTGAATAGATTAAGTTATAGTACTTTTTAGAGGTGTTTTGGTAAAACTGTCTGTTTTCTATTTAAATGACCTGAATAATGTTTGCCTCGTCTACAGATTTTAAATATACAACAAACGTAATGATGACGGCTGATGGGGAATACGTGGACATGAAGAGGATACACTCAGTCAAAGTAAGGTGACAGGGTGGAGCACCCATAGCTCAGGGTGTCACACAGCTCTCAGACTTCCACTGGAAGCCACACAGCAGCTGCTCCTCTTTTCTGAGGCACATGAGGTGTTTGAAGACACGCCACTCACCCCTCCAAAGTATTCATCGGTGTTTAGGCCCCCCCTCACAGAAAGGCTTTGGCCAAGATTTGAACCAGAAACCTTTCTACTCCAGGAGTAAGCTTCTCCCAGCAGCATTCTGGAGGCTGAAACGGGTCTCTGGATCAGACCGTTGACAGAGCCCCCCCCCCCCCCGCAGGGCGTTTGTGTGTGGGGGGGTGGATGTGGTGACGCCTGTCGTTGGGCAGGTGCAGATGCCCAACAGCCTGGAGTACCAGCCGGTGGAGTGTGCCATCGTGGTGAACGCAGCCGGAGCCTTCTCGGGGAGGCTGGCCCAGATGCTGGGAGTCGGCCTTGGTCCCAAAAACTCTCTCTCTGGAGTCCCAGTGCCTGTAGAGCCCCGGAAGAGGTAGGTCAATCAGCCCAGCGGCTTTTCTCCTTTTTTAAAGGAAAAGAACACAATTCTGTCAACTGTCTTCCAGGACGGCGCCTCACAGCCCAGTCCTCTTGTTAACGCCTCTGCTGTTCATGATGGGCTTCAGTGTGTCCCCCACCCCCCCGTTCCTGAGGGCCTCTTTGTATGTGTAGCTGTATCTGTAATAGCAAGTCATTTTAGTCATTCATTCATCAAACCTGCAGCCCGAGGCTTTGAGTAACAAAACAAACTGAGCATGATTCCTAAACGGGTTATTTGAAGAAGTTTCCTTCCTCCTCAGGTGACCCGAGTTAAAACCGGTTGAGCCATTTCAAACGGAACCATGTCTCTGTGCCTCAGCTGTCATGGTGGCCCCTGAACGCCACACTGGATGTACACAGGAATCATTTCACAGGCATTTTTCATTGTGCATACAAAGGGATTTCACATATAAAACGCTGCTTTATTATCATTTAAAGTCAACGGAACCCTTTGGAAGTGTTGGGAATGAGCCGGTGGATCGTTGAGCTGGAGCTCTGGGGCGTACGGTTATTGCACCATTCTAACAGCAGGTGGCAGTAACGGGCCTTCAAAGGCAGGGCAGCTTCATTTGCAGAGCCCCAGTCCCACAGAGCCCAGATTATATCACAGATCAGGGGAGCCGGCTGAGTTAGTGACCCCTGCTCCTGTCTGGACACGTCCCTGATGAACCTCTTAAGGCTAGAAACAGATTCTCAGGGCTTTTTACGCTGTCTCAGACTGTCCCGTTCAGCCTGCTCCTCAGGGGGAAACGTTGTGAGGCGGGGGTTGGACAGCTGCGGTCACCTGCTCTGTGTGCTTCAGTAGATGTGTCTCTGGGTCCAGGCCCCAGAGCATCTCTGAGCTGAGCCCAGTTTTTCTGTCCGTCCGTTCTGGACTGCTCATCCTGCTCACCTTTGATAAAAACACGTGGTAAAAGTCTGTTTGTTAGCCTGGTGAGGCTCCATGTGCTGCTTTGGTACCAACATGTTCCCTGTGCCCTGTAGAAGTGTCTCTGCAGTCTGCTGTCATTCAGCTTTAGCTTGTAGGTAGCTGTTTCTTCAGCCTGTCTTTAGACGGAACTGTGGATTCCTTACCTCTGGATCCCATTTCATCAAGTCCCTCTTAGTTTCTAGACAAAAATGCTTTCTTGTGGTGCAAGAATTTCTTGTTCCATCCGACAGCTTTTACAGGGGGACTCGGCTTGGAGCCGCTGGCCCACCAGAGAAATAGTAAGAAGAATTAAATGATTTAGAAATTCTTGCCTTATTTAAAATCCTACCCCTGGTTTGTGAGAGGAAAGGTCAAATGTCCGTCTCCACATCAGAAACTGGTGTGGGGTGCCAGGCTGGATGTCTGTTGAATGATTTGCTTTGAGGTTGCTTTCTGTCTGTCAGGTATGTGTATGTGGTCCACTGTCCTGACGGCCCTGGCCTGGACACGCCCTTCCTGATCGACTACTCCGGAGTTTACTTCAGGAGAGAGGGGCTGGGAGGGAGTTACATAGCAGGAGTGTCCCCACAGGAGGTCGGTGCCATCTCAGGGCTGGTTTGGACTTCACATGTTCTCACTTTAAAAGGAGAACATCTCGTGCGTCCTCAGGTGGAGGAACCTGAGACCAGTGATCTGGAAGTGGACCATCAATTTTTCGAGGACAAGGTTTGGCCCAGGTTGGCCCTACGAGTTCCTGCTTTTGAGAAGCTTAAGGTGGGCTCTGATGGTGATGCCGTGTGTGGAGGTGCTGGGGGGGCTGTTACACACTCCTCTCTCCCCCTCTGGGCAGGTGACCAGTGCGTGGGCAGGCTTCTACGACTACAACACCTTTGACCAGAACGCCATCATCGGCATGCACCCTGCCGTCAACAACATGTACTTTGCCACGGGCTTCAGCGGCCACGGCCTGCAGCACGCCCCCGCCGTGGGCCGGGCCGTGGCCGAGCTCATCCTGGACGGGAACTTCCAGACGCTGGACCTGAGCGGCTTCAGTTTCCGGAGGATTCTGAGTCAGGAGCCCATGCTGGAGAGGAACATAGTTTAATGAGCCTAGAAAATGGACCCGTAATCAGCCCAGTCGGACAGTTCAGGTTATTACGGTTCTGCTTCTGAAGTGGACCGCCCACCCCCCCGCCGTCGGCTGGGAGGGGCTCCGGCCCCCCAGACCCCGCTGGGAATAAGCAGTTAAGAAAATAGATTGATGGATGTTGCTGGTTTTACAGTCATTTGCACTCTGGTCACATTTCCTAATAGTGACCACAATAAAGTCCAACTGAGAGAGAAATAGGAGTCGAGTTTTGTCTTTCTGTTCCCACAAGGAAAAGTTGTTGGCTTTTCTTTGTGGCGTTGAAAATAAAAACTAGTAATAAATGTTGAGTAAACAATAAAGAGTCAAGTAAGAAATCTAGCAGAGAAAATTCACTTTGACTATAGAAATGATCTGATAAGCCTACTGAAAGCCCTATCCTACTAAAAGAATGTTACAATCCCCAAATGTGCACCGTTTCAGACATTTTCATGTTATTCCTGTCGGCCTGATGATGTCACATGGTTACCTTTGTACTGCCTCTGTAAGAGCTGGACTGCATTACATCTATTTTCAGCCATCAATAAAAAATAAGATATTGATCCAGTCCCAGGTTGTGTTGTTTCTCCTCTGTAAAAGCAACAAGTGGCATTTCCTGCTGTTAAAGAAAAAAATGGTGTTTGGAGACAGACTACCAACATTTCAGGATAAAAGAATTTAAACCAGTATTCTGAAAAATGGTTAAAGAAGTGCCACAGAAAAGGCGGATATAGAAACTTCTAAACATCCCATCAATGTTCTAAACAAGTCAAACTATAGAGCCAGCAGCAAAGAAAAGAGGCAAGAATGTCATTTTTGTATTCAATCAATACGCTTAATTAGGTGGAAGTCAATGTGTTTTTGGGCTAACCCTATGCAGGTTTTCATATGACAGGAGAGGCTTCCGGCGGGCCAGAAACCCCCACCTGGTGGAGGGCTGCAGTGATAGTTGACTTTGTGGATCTTCCCCCCCTCTCCCTGCTGCATATCTGGAGCTCCGTCAGTGATTTGGGTTCTTTACCTCTCTCACCAAGGCTCTTCTCCCACGATGGCTCGGTTTGGCTGGACGGCCAGGTCTAGGAAGAGTCCTGGTCATCCCAGACTTCTTCCGCTGAAGGATTGTGAGGGTTACTGTGCTCTTAGGAAGGATTGTGGAGGCCACGGTGCTCTTAGGAACCTTGAGTGCTGCAGAATTTCTTTTGTGACTTGTCCAGATCTGGGCCTGGCCACAGTTCTGTCTCTGAGCTCCTGGGGCAGCTCCTTCAACCTCGTGATTCTGGTTTGCTCTGACGTGCACTGTGAGCTGGAAGGTCTTATACAGACAGGTGTGTGCCTTTCCTCAAGTCCAATCAGTGCAATTAAACACAGCTGGACTCCAATGAGGGGCAGAACCATCTCAAGGAGGATCAGAAGAAATGGTCACAGCAAAGGCTCTGAATACTTATGACCATTTGATATCTCCGTTTTTCTTTTTCAATAAATTTGCAAAAATGTCTACATTTCTGTGTTTTTCTGTCAGGATGGGGTTCTGAGTGTACATTAATGAGAAATAAAATTATTATTTGTTATTTTAGCAAATGGCTGCAATGAAACAAAGAGTGAAACATGTAAAGGGGTCTGACTACTCTCCGTGCCCACTGTAAATCTTGGCCTAATACTGGACCCAGACCTGAACTTTAACAGCCACATTAAATCAGTAACATCAGCAGCTGCTTTAGAACCTAAAATGTGGAGAAAATAATGAAACCCCTCAAGGATTTCATCATTTGACCATCTGGTTGATGCGGCCTGCTGAAATCATGTTTGAAAGTATCTTTTAGTTCATCCAGGTTCTATCATTGTAATGTTACATTGTTATTTGTGGTTTTGTCCCAGCTTCCTACCACAGACCAGCCACCCGACATCCCCACCAGCTAACGTCCTGCAGCCAAACCTCCACATGCACGCTCCCTCACCCGTTCTCTCCCTGTTGGCCTACTAAAGCGGGCCATGCCTCAGTCACAGAGACATTCGCTTCTGGTGGTTAAAACCTGAACAGGTTCTTACTGGCAGATATGTGCAGAGAGCTCATTTGAATCACACATGCTTATAAGATGTGTTTGCACATAGCCTCTGAGGTTGTGCTACAGAATCCCACCTGCTTCTCCAACCATTTCCTGTTCCCCTCAATTCCATGCCTCTGATGTCATTTGCATCCATCACTGCAGGGCATCGCATGTGTTCACGCTCATATCCTGCAGTAATGGGCTCCACACATGTGGAAACGCTCCTTCTGCAGCCAGCAGAATGCTGCTGGGATGCCACCGCGTTGTTTTGATGGAAAAGTAAGGGAGCCTTGCAGGCTCAAGCGGAGGGGGGGGCACCGGGGGGAATTAAACAGAGGAGCTCCTTTGTGTGGCCTCCTGTAAATCCTAAAAGGTCTCAGGACTGAAAACAAAAACAGCATGAGAGCTTGCAAAGCCATTCTGGCCCCATCCACTGACTCACCTTCTGCCTGAAAAAGCCCTGCTGGCATTCACCCCCGCCCCCCCCCCCCTCCCCCTCCGGCCGGTCAGACACCTCCAGTGTGAGGACCCGCAGGAATTCAGCTGCTGAACCCGCTGGCTGCTCTATGAAGGAGGGGGTCACCCCCACTGAGAGCTTTCCAGCTGTACGGAGCCAGTGTACATGGCATGTGGCAGGGATTAGGACATTTCACTGTGGATTAAAATCTTTCAAACCTTCCATGACCACCCGCTAAAAGAAAGGAGCCTGAAGTTCCAGCGCAGATTCAGATCCTGAGAGCACTTTGTGCCCATGGTCTCAGTGAGCAGGTACGTCCACACTAACTTTTTCTTTGCCTCCAATCAGTCATTCTGTGTGTTTTGTTCCTGATTGGTTGTTTAAAGGAAAGCGATCAAACCTTCTTAATTTCTTAAGATGTAAGATGTGTAACAGATTCAGAACATTATATATTTGTGGTGTTTCTGTATGTTGAAAAAAGGCAAAGAAGGACTCAGAGTACTAATTGAATGCTAATTGGATCGACTGAAATTCTGGGGGAAAACCCCAATAGCTGGAACAGGTGTGCAACACAACTCCTACGGGTCATTCAGCCTCAGCCCTGCCGCTGGAGGCTGGAAGCTGTGAGCAAAGAAAGAAGATCACCCCTCCTAAAAAGGTTTCTATATAATATAAAGCATTTGGGGCCAATCAACCAGGCTTTAGGTACTATTGGTAATCCAACAGAGCAGGTCTTAGGTGAGGCTGGAAGTGGAGCACATGGTTAAAGCTGCCTCTGCTCAGGAGTAGTTTCTGAATGGACTGTGCACATATCTGTAATACAACAGTGTGTAAAGGCCATGGATGGAAACAGCTGTGACCTAGCACTCTACGGGAAACCAGCATGTCACCACGATCAACATAAGCCCACGGATGTCATGCTTAAAGCATTTTCACTTAATACAGACAGAAATCAAATCTGAGTGTTATTTATATGTAAACTTTGTGTATAAAGACTGCAGAATTATCTGCACACAAACTGGTCAGATAGACGGAAAGACACCAGGCAAACATGAGTTCATGTTTTAGGGATAAGTCTGATATCTGGTTCAACATGCTAAAAATGAAAAATGCTCTCCGGGTATTACCAGAGGGAGGAGCAAGATGCTTTCAGAAGGTTGGATTTTTTCCCCAGCACCACAGCTTCTGAGATGGTGGATTGTGTGTGTGTGTCCTGCAACATGATACAACGGAGAATCAAAAATGATGAGCCAAAGAATGTTGAGCAGCCAGAATCATTTACACAATATGAAGGTTTACAATTATCAAAAATGATAATCGTCAGTTTTTTGCCAATTTTAAGAAGTCAGCAACAGGAAGCTGATGCAACATAGTAATAAACAAATCTCCACCCCCCAAAATAGTACTTATTTACATTTGTTTCAATTGTCTTTATATACCTTAGACGTAAGCAACAAAACTAAAAGCTATTTCATTGTGTTTGTTAATCAAAGGTTCAAACTGCTTACTAAATGATAGATTTAGAATCCTTATTACCATGGACCCTTAGCGTTGCATCAGAAGCTGAATCCCTTTTGTAAATGTTGTTCACACAGCGCTGGACGGGGCATTTGCTGCAGATTATCCTGCCGTTTGACAACTCTGACTGAGAGCACCAACACAAGCATCTGTGTTCACAGCAGAACCTCACCACCAAGCTGGACTTCTTTAGCTAATGTTCTTCTTTAAAAAGATGAGAAACTCCATCTTGAGACAGACGTTGTGGGATAATATGGTAGCTGTAGTTAGTATTTGTAGTGCTTTCATGGTGATCGGTGTAAAAAGCTGTCTGGGAAAACAAAATCATGTCGGGGCTATCATTTACTGTAATAAAGGACTTCAGCAGATAAAATACGCCTTTAAAATACTGACACACATAGAGCTTAGCCTGCTTTTTGCTTCAGAAATACAGAAAACTCAGTCAACGAATACTAATCACTGTTTGTGTTTGGGCTATAATGAAGACAGAATATCAGACTAGTCCTTCTGGATTAGCTCCAAATCGTTAGCAGGTAATATAGAAACCTTTAGACATGCTCTCCCGTTCTGCTGTTATTAAAACTGACTTAGTTTATTAGGTCAAATCTGACTAAAAAATGTGAGAATACTATTGCCCTCTCCACGGTGGAACTCGTGTTGTAGGACGTCTCTCCCTGCTTGCCAGCCAATGAGCCCGGTCTGTAATCCTGTCTCCTCTCTCAGCTTCACAATGTTCCAGCTGCTCCCGGGTCAGCACCAGCCCGCTGGACACCGAGGCCGCAAGACCCGCCTGGTCACCAAGGATGGCCACTGCAACATTGAGTTCGGCAACATAGAGTACAGCAACCACTTTGCCTTCCTGGTGGACTTCTGGACCACCTTTGTGGAGATCCGCTGGCGCTTCGTCCTCCTGCTGTTTGTGGCCGCCTTCACGGGCAGCTGGTTCCTCTTCAGCCTGCTCTGGTACTGGATCGCAAAGACCAACGGGGATCTGACGGAGCAGAACCGCACAGAGGAGCACATTCAGTGCGTAGACAATGTTAACGGCCTGACTACGGCATTCCTGTACTCCCTAGAGACCCAGACCACCATTGGGTACGGTGGGCGGGCCCTGACGGGCCACTGTGCGGGAACAGTGGCTCTGATCATCGTCCAGTCTCTGGTGGGAGTCTTCATCAACTGCTTCATGTGTGGGGTCATCCTAGCCAAGATCTCCTTACCCAAAAAGAGGGCAAAGACTGTCAGCTTCAGCAGGACAGCAGTCATCTGCTTAAAGAAAGGAAGTCTGTGTCTGCTGCTGAGAGTGGCCAACCTCCGAAAGACCTTGTTGATTGGAAGTCAGATCTATGGGAAGCTGCTGAGGACCACAGCCACTCCGGATGGTGGGACCATCATCCTGGATCAGGTGGACGTTGACTTCATGGTTGACGCTGGCAAGGACAACTTGTTCTTTGTGTGTCCTCTGACCCTCTACCACATGATCAATAAGTCCAGTCCGTTCTACGAGCTGTCCGCCGACACCCTCCCCCAGCAGGACTTTGAGCTGGTGGTCTTCCTGGACGGTACAGCCGAATCCACCAGCTCTTCCTGCCAGGTCCGGACCTCCTACACCCCACAGGAAATCCAGTGGGGCTACAGCTTCCTTCCCATCATTTCCCACACCAAGACAGGGAAGTACTGTGTGGATTTCTCAAACTTTTCCAAGAGTGTGCGGGTCTCTACGCCACACTGTGTCCGCTGCTTCGAGTCGGACGCAGACCAGAGAAACCACAACAGCCACAACACGGAGGGCCACAGCGACCAGCTCAAACTGGGCATCGACAACCTCGGCTTCCAGGTGATCGACATCCACGACTCTGTGGATGTCACCAAGATGTGAGAGCCCATCCTCTAAGGGCCATCACAGCCATCACAGCCAGGATGTGGGCATCAACACGTCTGTCTCCCATTAGGATGAAGACCCAGAAGCAGTCAGTGTGCAGAGAGAAGCAGACACACTCATGCTACAGTCACCTCCTTCATTTGATTGTTGCAGGCTCGTGAGACAAGAGCAAGAGTTGTGCTGCTTCTCACAGTCAAATCCCTGCTGGAACTCTGTTAGCTGACAGACAGCTGGAGGTTCTGACAGACTGAACATGAAAGGGGTAAAACAGTGAATGGCACAGTGGGTACGTGTAGAGCAGATTAGAGCCTGAGCCTGTAAGAATAAAAAACCTGTTCTTAAAGCTGCAATAGGAAAACTGAAGTAGAACAGGCCTGGGATTGCTCTTTATTCCTGCTAAACGACTGACTGTGGTCAGGATAAGAGTGTAGCTGTTTAAACACGACCAGTATACATTCTGTAGATCACGCTGTGTAACACTGCAATGTCTCAGGGATGTCCTCAGTTAGAATAAAAATGTGTTTTTTTTCACAATTTTTGGCCTAAGTGCTTTTTCTTGCCATATTTCAGTGCATCCAGATTAAAAATGCCATTAAAGAAATGTACGACGCATCCATTCAGACTTTATCAGGAAAGCTCTCCCTTTGTGCTACATGATGCTTTAACTCTAATTGTCAAATATTAATGTTAGGATAGCTTTTGCTCCGCTGTGACAGAAAAAAACACAATGTTTGATACATTTCAGATTAAAATGGAACGTCTATAAATAGAAGCATATTTT